TCAGAAACTAAATCATCTCTACTGTCTTCAGTCATGGGTGGCATCCTAGGCACTTTGCAGTCATTTACTACCTAGGTGATACAGAAGACTGACCTCAAATCCATAAACACATGCAAAGTGGGTATGCTGAAAACAGTAGCAGTGCTGCTACTTAACACCTGGCCCTCAGTGCTTAAACAGTAACAAGGAGAAGCTGTTCAAAAGAAGAAAAAGTTGTGTTTTGCACTTTGACAACCTCTTTTGCCCTTGCATCCCTTTCATTTAACCTTCACAATGGTGGATTCTGTGGGATATTTAAAGTAATAATCTCATTTATCAAGCAAGTAATAATTTAATTTATACTCACTAGGACATGAGTATGAGTAAAATTCTATTTTGTGGATATTTGAGATTATTTTAAATCCCTTTGAATTAAAAATTATCACACTTGCAGAGTTTCATAGATGAGCCAGGTGAAAGACAGTAAAAGTAGATAATTTTACTGTCTATGCTCTTTTGAAGTACAGATAGTAACAATTAAGTTTTGTGTTGTTGTAATCAACTATTTTAGTCATAGCATTCTAACAAGAAAATAATACTATTTACAAAATAGCACATAATTACAATATTTTTTTCTGAGTGATACCATATCAATATGGAAGTCAACTTATGCACTGTTACCTCTAGCATGTTATTGAAATGCAAAAAGTATTCAGACTGCTCATTCATGAAACATGCATATACATTTGTATAGCATTGGTATCCTTTCTAAGTTCTCAAAATTGTCGGTCACAAATACATGGCATCAGTCCAGTCTCACTGAATGTGGCACAGTTTACTCACAGCAGCCATCTGCCCACTAGTGAATTGGAATGACAGTAGATTTCAAAGTGCCTAATTTGCTGTAAAACAGACAATCTGAATTTTGATCCCCTTAAGTAAGTCTAAAAGCAAAATGTAAGTTATTTCACTTATGTTTGACATAACACACTTAATTTTTCATCCCGTCCTGGAGACTTTTAAACGGTAATTTTCAAGACAGGTGCTCAGTCTAATAAAATCTCATGAAAAATATTTTTGTTGTCTTTATGATTTCTTCCTTTTCATTGACAAGTTAAGGTAAATGTTTTCCAGTGGAATTAAAGACTTTCCAAATAACTCACGTGGCCGCAAACCCAGTGTCCCAATCATTGGCTAGCTGTCAGTTAGCTATGTCACATAAGACTTCTCCTAAATCCCTCCTCACCACTTACTATAAATTTGTCCTAGGAACTCTGAAATAAGTTATTGATCTCCTTCTTAGCATTGAATGTACTCTGGGCCTTTAAAATCACTGTGGTATTACCACAGGTCAACGCAATAATTTCTCACTGTGGATGAAAACCCTTATGTAAAGCGGATTCTATTATATTGTCGTATATATGTGCAGCCTTGAGGTGTAACCTGTGCATTCAGGATTTTGCTTTCATTTGTATTCTTGCTCATCATTAACAAACCTTGTACCTAACTCCATAGCCTTGTTTCTATGATTGTTATAAACTTTAACTTAAAACTTTATTTCTGTAAGCTATGAAATGTTAAAACATCTGAATGTTGGGGAGCGGACTAGTCCAATGAAATATAAAGAAAGGTGTACATGTGCCCTCAAAGAGCATGTTAAAAATGCCCATGTTCAAAGCACTCATATTTCACTGGTGTTCTTCTCTCATTTTGTAATTGCATTTAGATTCTTGCAGCCAAATCCTGCTAAAGAACAAGAAAGTGGGCAAAAGATACACATATCTTTTCCCAGACAAAGAAAGGTGCATACCATCCTCTCTAGCCTTCAGTTGCTGAGTATTACTATCTTTCTAGTGCTGAGAAGCTATTTGTATTTAATAAATACCTCTTGTCTTCCAATGCATCTTACATCTACTGTTTATATTGACTTATTTTTCCGCTGTCTAGTTACACTTAAGAACTTTATTTCCTCCTCCTGCAGCAATTTCAGCCTCAGTAACTGGATATAACACAACTCATGTATCAGTCCATAATCTGAAAAACCTTATGATAATGATGTAAATCAGTATTTGACATTCCACATATTCCACATCACAGTAAGAGTCATAAGTTCTGCACCTTCCATGTTGGTGACATAATTCACAGCTCCTTAGTGAACCACGGAGTGGGACTTCCAAAACTACAATGCAAATGGATTTCACACTGTGAGCCAGCAGCCTGAAGATCAATGTAAGAGTGATTCATTGTGGTCTGGGAAAAAGAGAATCAAAGGGGAACTCCTGGTAAGCCTGCTGGAATTCTTTTTCAAAGTCAGTGCTTGGCTCCAATTTATGGAGGGCTACCAAAGGACAGGAAGAAAGATTAGACTTGCAGATGTTTTTATAAACTATGGAAATAGTTTGTATTACCTGTAAATTATTGCTATTTGGCTGCTGTTTCTAAGAGTGCTATATATGCTATATGAATAGACATTTATGCTATATGAAAAGCATTTTTCATTTTCTTATATTCATATATGCTTCCTCCATTTTGTAAAATATCTACAAATCTTCTCTTTTTCCACTGAGAACACAGGTAGTTCAGTCTGCTTGTCTCTAAAGTGATGTGAGGGAAGAGCTGTTGCGAGTCTTTTCTGTTTTGTTTCTAGAACCTCATATTGGGATAAATAATAAGCAATGTTTTCGAGAAGCTTTATATAGCAGCAGATGTACTGTTAAAATATATTATTATCTTGTACTTTAATACAGAGTTTTCCTTCTTGTTGTGATTATATATGAACACACACTAATTTTTAATTTTCAGATAGCAGATTCTAGGTCTAGATAGTACCCTTCAAGACTTTTTACAGGTGAACACCAAACAATTTTAAGTCTAGAGATTTTTTGTTTTGTTCTTCATTTTTTGTCTAAATTAGTGGAGTGAGTCTGAGAAAATGTAGAATGAGATGTATGTGCCTTAAATAAAATATGTAACTAAAATATCCTTTTTTGTTCTTTGAAGTGATTCAGATTTGTGTGGATTTGTCAAAAGTGTTATATAAATCAGCTATTACTAGTTCAACCTAAAGCTTGCTACATATTAATTTTAAGCATTTTAAAATTTGGAAGCAGGAATTATTCAGGTCAATGTAATTTCTGACATATTTCTGCCCTGTTTAAAACAAAGATTGTGCCAAGGATTGTTAGAATTTTTTTGGATGGAGAATTTTTCAAATCTATTTGTAGCCATTGAGATGCTTTTCATGAAAATCTCAGTTTTGACAGGAAAAATATGTATGTGAAGTATTCTAAAGGTTGAATTTCTGGGATAGAATTTTTCATGTTTGATTCCAAAAAAGCATTAAAAATAGCAATTTTTATGAAAGTTATGTCACCTCATGTATAAAAATGTATACTACTTTACTTACCAAGAGAGTTTTTGAACAGAATATTGATCTGAATTGGAGCAGGTATATTGGCTTGTGTGGCAAGGTTTTGCTAGCAAGGAGAAGGAGACAGGGCTACAGGGGTGGTTTCCATGAGAAGCTGCCAGAAACTTCCCCCGTGTCCAACAGAGCCAGTGCCAGACAACTCCAAGACCAACCCACCACTGGCCAAATTGAGCCCATCAACAACAGCTCTGGAATAACATATTTAAGAAGAGAGAAAAAATGCAGCAGAAACAGCAGCTGAAGAGAGGGAACATCCCTGGAAATACAGGGGCAGCAAGGAAGAACGAGGAGGAGATATTCCAGGCAGTGGAGCAGAGATTCCCCTGCAGCCTGTGGTGCAAACTGAGATCAGGCAGCTGTGTCCCTGCAGCCCTTGGAGGTCCATGGTGGAGCAGAGATCCATCCACCTGCTGCTCATGGACAACTCCACACTGGACCAGGTGGATGCCCTGAAGAGGCTGTGACCCCTTGGGAAACCTGTGCTGGAGGAGGCTCCTGGCAGGTCCTGTGAGCCCATGGAGAGAGAAGCCAGTGCTATAGCAGGTTTGCTGACAGCACCTGTGACCCCATGGGGAGCCTGCACTGGAGCAGCATGCTGGAGCATTCATGACAGACTACACACTGTGAGAAGGATTCACAGGAAAAGTTCTTGGAGAAGTGTCTCCTGTGGGATGGATGCAATGCTCCTGAAGAGCCTTCCCGTTTGAGGTGGGCATTCAGTCCATAATTACGATCTAGAAGAAACAAGCACTTCTGTGAAATAACTGGCTTGACCCAAAGCTATGGAAGTAGAAGAGAGGTTTTGAGCCATTTTTGTTTCAGCCTCTTTCAAGGGCCATTGAATGAAACATCTTTGGCAAAAACTGTCTCCCCTTCATGGCTCAGCTGAAGGTCAGGGCCACATGGCAAACCGATACATGTTGAGATCAAAGAGCTAGGACAGGAGAGGGCTTGCTAAGCCTTAATTTGACAGCAGGCTGTCATCTCAGCTCTAAGTGACATAAGGCTAAAACAAGTACCTCAGCTTGTAGTAAGAAAACAGCTACTGTTTTTTTTCTGTGTATCAATGCCCTGTCCAGTCGAGTTATATGTCACCTTGTCACCTGTCCTCTTGTGTACATCCTGTCTCCCTTCCCCGTTGTCTCTCTTGTGTCTCCTTTCCCTGCCTCCATTATTATTTGTTTCATATTCCTTTTAGGAAGTTTTTCAGAGTTATTCTGCAAAACAGTTTGACATTTCAGATCAGTGACACTGCCTTTGAGACATGCTATGGCTATAAAAGTACACACCAACAGGTTCAAAACTCAGACACCTTAGCAGTGAGAGGGTATTACTACTCTCCAAAAGGGCAGGCAATTGAACTCCTTAAGACACCAAATTTAAAGCAACTTTTAACAGTTTGGTCTCTTAGCTCAGCTGTATTTGAATGCATAGTTTTCACCATACAGACTAAAATTGCTCCATTGTTTACATTTTCATATAGAAATTACTAAGGAAGGACACTGACCTTCCATGCTATTTTAGAACATGAACATACACTTAACACCAGCTTATTAATAAAGTCTGGTGGCAACTGGGACAAACCTCCCTGGGCAGTCATATCCTGCTTCTGGGGAGTCTGCAAAAGGTGACCAGGAAGAAAAACCTTTGTAAGTTTAAAATAATTCTAAAAGGATTTATACCTTCACTGGGAAGGAAAAATTAAGTGAAAAGCATAATTTTTAATTGTTTCAAATGGGGGTGGAGGTTGGTATGGAAAATCTGTAACAAGCACTTATCAATATTTGTGACAATCTGTATTGCATCCAGATGCTATAATTCAATTTAATTCCATCAATTTAATGTTAATAAAAATGAGCTACATGATAACAGTAGAAAGAGAACTGGAGAGAAATCTTTCAGATCTGCCTTCAGAGCTCTTGCCTAGCTTAGTTGGTATCTCTGGTGAACAGTTTCTTATGGCTCTATTTATAGCTGCAGTTTCAGCTGAGTTGCTTTTTATAAATGGGCTTGCTATCTCTCTGTGCTCGGACTAAACTACAGAAAAGCACTTGCACAGTGGCAAGCAGGTCTCTGCTTAGGAAACTGATGCAAGGCAGCTGTTGGATTTTCAATTCCACTGCTCGCTTACACTGTGCTAATTTGGCCCATGCTACAGAAAGAACAGGATCTTAATTGGTAGAGGGACATTATTAGATAAGCAGATGGAAATTGTCACAAATGATTAAAAAAAACACCCACACCAGTCTGCAGATTATATATAAAGCCTGCCTGCTACACTTGCAAAGAAGCTGAAGTCTGTGTAATTCAGTGGATTTATAAAGGCAGCTACATAATAGGGATGAGACTTTTGTAGCCCCGAATTTTTGCCTGGCTCCAAGATGACTGAAACAATCAGTTGTAAAGATTTCTAGTACTCTGAAAGTTGGGGGATTTAAAATAAATTTTGGATGTTTGGTAAAATTCAAGATGCCTGGGAGAGCACTCTTGTGAAAGTGTTTACCAGATACTGGTAGCATTAATAACAGTAATGCTGTGCCTACAGGATAGTAGCTCTACCTACACCTGTGGTTACAGATTACAAAGGTAAACTAAACCAAGACACTCGCAGATCCCTAAGGACCACAGAAGAAGCAGCATGGGCATAGTTAGATGTATTAAACCAGGATAACCATGTGGTGAATATCAAAACTAGGAGCCAGGTGGTGCTAGGGCAGAGCAGTTTTACAGTCAGTCTGAGATTTATACCCAGAAGACTTCAGTGCTCCCAACACAAGTAAATATATGAGAGAATTTTCCAACTGCATTGCCTGAAATGGCTGAGCATCCTATGCTGGATTCTGCACCTGGGATGGGTCAACCCTGGATGCAGGTACAACCCAGGGAATGAGATGCTGGAAAGCACTGCGGTGGAAAGTGCCCTGGGGGTCCTGGTGCATGGCAAGTTGAATGTGAGTCAGCAGTGCCCTGGCAGCCAGGAAGGCCAACCCTGTCCTGGGGTGCATCAGGGACAGCATCTCCAGGCGGGCAAGGGAGGGGATTGTCCTGCTCTGCTCTGGGGCAGCCTGATCTCAAGTCCTGTGTTCAGGTTTGGGTGCCAGAATTTCAGAAGGACATTAAGCTGTTACAGAGCATCCAGAGGATGGCAACAAAGATGGTGAAGGGTCTGGAGGGGAAGTCATATGAGGAGCAGCTGAGGTCACTTGGTCTGTTCAGCACGGAGGAGACTGAAGGGAGATCTCATTGCAATTACAGCTTCCTCATGATGGGAAGAGGAGGGACGGACACCGATCTCTTCTCCGTGGTGACCAGTGACAGGACCTAAGGGAAGGGTCTGAAGCTCAGTCTGGGGAGGTTTAGGGAGGATGTATGGACAAAGGTTCTTCACCCAGAGGGTGGCTGGGCACTGGAAAAGGCTCCCCAAGGAAGAGCTCACAGCACCAGCCTGACAGAGTTCAAGAAGCTGCGAAAGCCTCTGCCCGAGTAGGTGAGCTACTATCCAAAGAGAGAAGCCCAAGGTCCTCATAACACTGGCTCCTAATTCTGGTGGAAATTCCATGCTGTGGTGGGGTTTTATTCAATTTACCCACTTAGAGGGGGATTTGGGGCCTAGTGCAAGCTGTCACAGAAAAAAAGTCCCGTTCAGCTAGGCTTTGCTCTAACCTTCGCCCCCAGCTTCCAAGGACACAAATGACCAGGGAGCTGGAGTCGCTGCACAAGACAGAGACCAAACTGTCCAGGAACTCGCACTTCAGGCCTGACAGAGCTCCGCGGAACGCCCCGAGCCCCGAGCAGCGGACCCGCCGGGGCCCGGGGCCGGCGCGCAGCCCGAGGCGGTGCCAGGTAACGGCGGCGGGGCAGCATGGCCGCCAGCGGGACGCGCTTGGCGCAGGAGGCGCTCGGCAGCGCGCCGGGGAGGAGACGGCCTGCCCTCGCCTCCTTCTCCGCCTTCAGCTTCGTCCCGCCCAAACGGGAAGGGCCTCCGGAGCTCAGCTATTACAACCGGCCGCACAAGGTGAGGGAGTGAAGGGAGCGGGCAGGGACAGGCCGGAGCAGCGCAGGGCGAAGGGACGAGGTTTCCCTGTGGGTCTCTGCGCGGTGCAGACCCTCTGGTTGGACCCGATGCAAAGCTCGGCCCTCATCATGAGCGACCTGGTCAGACAGGTGCCAAAAGTCGTCATAGCATCATAGAATGGTTTGGGTTGGGTTGACTTCAAAGATCATCCAGTTCCAACCCCCTGCTATGGGCAGGGATACCTTCCACTAGACCAGGTCCAATCCAACGTGGCCCCACCCTCCAGGGGTGAGGCATCCACAACTTCTCTGGACAACTTGTTCTAGTTCCTCACCACACTCACAGAGAATAATTTTTTTTCTGATATAGAAATGTGGGACATAAATCTCTATTACTAGGCTATCTAATACCAAAATAACAAGTTTCACCATCAGAGGCCTTTGCAAAGTGTATTTGCTACTTGTGGATGGCAAATGAGGGTAAGGTCTTTCAAGACAACTGGATAACAAGAAAAGGCAGAGACATTGTCTCCCAGGGACTGAGGATGAACAGGCCACTTGGTGTCAATGAGATATGAGGCATTTTTAGGAGGAACACTAGGAAAGGCATTATCTGTCACTAGGGTTTGATGCAGCACCAGTGGATTTTATTGTAACACACACCCTCTTGGGAACCCTTTAATAAGAAACTTCCCCATTCTCATTTGAGGGAAAGGATTTTCCATGTGCATTGCATAAATTTTCTGCATGATCAGCTTTAATAAAATCACTGGAGCTACTCAAAACAATAACATAAATATATGCGTCCGTGACTGAATGCTTCTGAGGGTGGTACACTGCCACTCAACATGTGGTAACTCAAGTGCGCTGGCAGAGAGCCTCACTCCTCACTCTGCTGCATTATGTCACCATTGCTCCTCATTCTGTCCTCATATTTAAGATCAGAAATGAAAACAATCTTACACCTTCTGCCTCAGCTGAGCTACAGTTCCTGGGTGGTGAACTTTTCTATGAAGGGAGAATATGAGACATTGAAGTTAGCACGCTTTTTTCTAAAAAAAAAAAAAAAGTTCTGAAATGCTTATTATGTCAATGTAACATATCAATCCTGTGGCAATTTATAATGATAAATACAACCCATGATTCCTCTCCTCACCCAAGTGACAAGCTGTTGAATGCACCAAGCACCAGGCAGCACTGACTGGTGGTTTGTGAGAGTTTGCAGGTCCTCTGTCCCTGGGATGTGGGCAGGGTACAGACCAGAGCACTGTGCTGGGTATTCAGTGAACAGCAAATTTCCTGCATTGACCAGGTGGCCCTGCTAAAAGACAAGAAGATTTCTCTTGTGACTCTCTTGTGTTGATTCCAGCATTACCTTGGCAAGGTGATCTGACCCAAAGGTCAGCAGGCACAGTTGGTGCCGTGCTTCACAAAACAGTAAGGAGAGCACAACAAGAGTAAGGTAAGGGCAGGTAGAGGGCTGGCATGGTGCTCTTGGATCTGGTGAGCTCACCAGTCTGCACAGAATTAGCAGCCGTATGGTAGAGCTTTTCCTTACAATACAGTCTGCTTTCACACTCACAAAGGCCTGGTTTGTGAAAAAAGCTGCTCCAGTGGCATGGAAACAAAAAGTGATAACAGCTGTTTAATAGGATTCTTCACAGCCCAGGCCTTGGCCACAGGGGAGGAAGCAGATTCAATCCATTCTTCTGCAAAATTTAGGAATTGGGTAATTTGAATATTTTTATTTATAGAGCCAAAGGAATCTCATTCCTTTTTGCAGCTTAAACACCTAAAACCAACCATGTATCAGAGACTGAAGCAGAGAGAAGTAGGAAGAAGATGGGCTCATTGCATGGCCAGAAGCCAGAAATTCCTGCCTCCCTGGATTGCTTTACATAAGTTACTGTAGCCAATGTGCCTGGTGTTTCCTCTTCTGTGATGTGGAGAAAGCTATTGCCTATTTCATGTGTGTCTGGAATACTAATGAATGCTTGCAAAGCATTTAGCTTTAGCAGCAGTACACAGAGGATGCCTACCCTGAGTGCACATTTATCATCAGCTCTGTGTGATTCACTTGCTCTGGTGGGTTTAAGAAACAGCTTGCCGCCACCACCACCCAGGCCAACCAAGTTATCACTTACAACAAAGAGAAACAGCAGCAGGAAGTTATCAGTGCATTGAGCAAAGAAGTGTTGTCTCTACAAATCTGGCGGAAAATTCTAAGCAGATATCTGGGACAGAGCTAGTTTTTGATATAACAGGCTGGCTGAGTGTCTGCAAGTTCCAGAAAGAATGAATTATCTGCTCTGATATGAGCAACAAGTGACACTTTTTCTTAGTTTGAAACAAGTAACAAATAGTGCCATATTAATACCAGCAAAGAGCAAACAACATTTCTGGTGGTGAGTACAAGTTAAATGTCTGCTGAATGAAACTGGTAGCGTGGGGAAGAAAGGAGAAGCAAAGAAGCATGGAAATAATTGTGGAGATGACAAATCATGTGCAGGGTGCTCTTGAACATGCCTGAAATCCTTTGAAGCTCAGTGGTTTCTGAGAAGTGAAGGGATAGATAGGTTAAATACAAAATAATCTCTCCTCTTGGCAGAACCAAGTATTGGAGATACCTTTACAAACAAAGCCTGAAATTACAGCAGTGTCTCTCTAGTGCTCTTAACTATGGCTTCCTTTTAATGGAACTATTATAACCTTCTTGACCTGCCATGACTTGACTATATTTCGAGAATACCACTGTAATTTGAAAATCTCAAGGTACATGAGATTTTCAAAGGTTAAATTTGACACACTGTAAAATTAGAGGACAAAAAAAGCCCAACAAAATGCACCATTCTTTTAGTCAGCCATGCACAAAGCCAATGATGATTGACATTTTTAACAGAATATTGACCCTTAATGAAGTTCAGTAACAACTGGCAGCATATTTCAGTAGGGGATTTTCTTTTTGGTTTTTTTTCTTTGAAAAGTTGTTTTAGTTTTGAAATTGCTTTGATTCTATTTATGAGAACTTCTTGACTGGATTTCACAAACACCTTTGTTAGAAGAGCAGATCTTTTATGTGGCTTATTTGGATGCAAACTATGTCAACAGTTGAACAACAATAGTATGGCTGGGGGTGTGCTTTATTTTAATGCCTGAAATATGTGTGTCATGCATACCACTGGGTCACAGGATTACTTCTGTGGCACATTTATTTCTCAATTCTACTCTAATCAGAAATTAAATTATGTTTACAGTGCAGGGTACCTTTGTTTGTTTGAAAGTTCCTGTTTTGCTTTTACATAATTGTGCCAAATACAAACATTTAGGAAGGAGGATATTAAGTGCAGAATATTAAAACAGATCAATTTCCAAAATTACAACAGATTACAATGGGGGCGGGGGGCGGGGTGAGAAGAAGTAAATCGCCGCAAGGGAAATTTCAGAGCTGAACAACTTAATAAATGGTACCAGATGTCGTTAGGTAATTTTGCAAACTGTTCAAAAGGACTGGCCCAAACTTCCTAATGAGGTCAGTAATATTACAGTTGTCATCATCTAATGCAATACATGCACTATTTAGGTATTGATTTGACTACATGTGTTCTGTAATCTGTAAAGTAAAGCAATTATGTGAATTAGCCATTTTTCCCCTTTTCTCAAGACAGGAGATTTTTTCACCTATGATGCTGTTTTTGGAATACCAGAAGGTTACGATCAATATCTTCCACGATGTGACAGAAAACATGCAAAGGCTCGTGGCCTTAAAATTAATGAGGAGGTAACCCTTTGATAAATTCATAATTATCTTTGTTTAAGGTGTTTTGTACTTTTTGCCATGACTGGAGGCTCTTGGCATTGTTTTACCCTTTGCAATGTAACCCATACTGTAAGAAAGTAATTGGAAGGAGGACATCAGCCTGCAGGTTTAGGAGAAAGCATTATCCCATGAAGATACCCAAATTAGCTCTTGCTCTTTCATATCCTGAAGATTCCAGGTGACAAGACATATGCAAGTTAAAGCTAGGGGGAAGAGGCAAATTCTCTCTTGCAGAGTGCAGGGTGTACTCTGAACCATCTGTGCCCCTCAGGAGTTGTACTTCAGGTGGTTCTGCAGTTATTTCTGTGGTGCTTAAAAACTCTTTTCCCTGAGAGGGCTGGATTCAGAGGCAATGACTTCACTACTGTCCTCTGACACCCACACCCTTTACACCAGCATTTGCTGTGAAAGCTCATCTCTGAAGCTGGTGAGCTTATTAGGAAAACCTACACCAGATTGCCCTGCAGGAAGGAAATTCATAGGGAGCTAGTGCAAAGGTGTGGTCAGTCAGAACACATGGGCATGCCTGGGAAAGGATGGGCAAGTATTCGGGGCCAGCAGAATCTGGGTTTGATATGCAGCCCAACAAGTAAATACTCCCTTGGGAACAGAAATACTACGGTATATATGCATAAATGTATGTTGGATGTATTTTTGCATCTGAATAATACAGCATATATACAACCGTCTGTGTCTGTAATTATATTTATGTATACACACACAAAAATGAACACAGAGGCAGAGGCTGTCAAAAACCAAATGAAGTGTAACCTCTGTGTACTAATGACCTCAAAATCCCAATGAGTTCATGGGATATTAGAGTGATGGGTAGGCTAGGGATGTAGGGATGGCTGCCTGATTTGATGGTTATAGAGAAGGAAGAAGGAAGAGTGACACAAGAGTTCAAATTACTCTAATTTCGGTGCAATAAAATTGTTTTTTTCTGACAAAGCCCACTGCTTGGGATGCATCTCACTAGCAGTTATATATGCCAGACATTTCTGTGCAAGTGTGTAGCCATAATGCCCTTCAACTCTGATATCAGACAGTGCAGGAAGCATTAAATGCTCTCAAAGGAATCCCAGGAGTGCCCATTAGCATCACCTGCTCATGCCTAATAACTCAACTGCAAATCTGTGTATCTATGTGAATGACTACTCCAATTAGAAATTAAGCCTTTTATTTAAACAAAACAAAGACAACCTCCTCCCCTAGTACCAAGCATATTTTTCAAGTGGCAAATTTGTGTAGAAAGTTCATCAATATAAAGTTACAGCTTTTTACTGAGCTCTTGTATCAACAAAACTCACTTTCCTATCAGCTTTCTTCCTAGAGCAAACTTTTATGGACCAGAATTCATACCAGCTGTGCTGGGCAGTGCACACATGGGACTGTCCAAACAGGTGTCCCTTAATCCAGCCCTTTAATTAGCATGGATAGACATCAAACCCACAGTTATTTAATACTACAGCATGATCCTCCTGCATGTCATGACACCCAACACTGTAACCATAACTAAGTGCAGATCATATACTCAATTCATCTTTATCACAGGGCCCTATCAGGCTTTATGTAATAATAACTAAATTATAAAATATAATAAATAAAAACACCACAATTGACATCTTTTTAGTTCAACACTGAACACAAACAGACTGAACCACAGTACACTGCTTTACTTGAGCTGGAAAAAAGCAAACCACTGCAAGTAAGCCCCTCATTTCCTGCAGGTAACCTGGGTGCACCCAGGAATTCAAGAGTACAGTGACAGATACTCGGTTTAGCTACATGCAGCTGAGTAACTGCAGTGGAGTGTGTGCTCAGGGCTGCCATTGCTGATTGCAAGTGCTAACAGTGCTAGAATTACACACTGCGAGGGCGGGCAGCAGGATGCTTCCCAGCCAACTGTTGGAAAATCTGAAACCCACTGAATGCCAAACCCACCAAGATGAAATGCCAGTGTGCACAGTCAGCGCTGTGCTACCAAGGATGCTGAAAACTGATTTTAAATAAACTTATTTATTTAAAAGGAATACAAACTATTGGAAATACATACTGCTGCCTGTCATTAGCACTGTAAACCCTGAATTTCTAGCAAAGTCTTTCTTTATGGTACAAGGATTTTTTAGTTTCTCACTTTTCAGCATTTATCCACAACTAGGGCAGGGGAGGAAATTATCTTAATTTTGCCTGCCAGTCTTCTTGACTTGATTTTCATTCTGCTGGGGTTAAAAGTTAGTGTACTGAATAGCTTTTAATAGGGTGGAGTAAGGTGGGCAGGAGAACTGGGAGATATATGATTGTTTTGAAATGAGCTTTTGTATTGAGTGGGTTAGTTAGTTAGTTAGTTTGTTTGTTTTTGAAAAGTGTTTACAGAATCCTTCTATGAACCTCAGGTTCTGTCCATAAGGCTGGAAATGTCTCTTAGCTGACTGCCCTGCTATGAGATCCTGCCAATCTGTGCTCCCACCTGCATCCTTTGCAGGACCTAAGTGTTGATTTGCTCAGGCTTGTGTCTGTTGCAGGTCTCTTAGCTGACTGCCCTGCTATGAGATCCTGCCAATCTGTGCTCCCACCCGCATCCTTGCAGGACCTAAGTGCTGATTTGCTCAGGCTTGTGTCTGTTGCAACAAAGAAGTCATTTGCTTGCACTCGAACTATAGTGTGGCATCTGCATTTTGATTTGCCTTTTAGATACTATGTATAAGACTAGGAAAACACATTGCAGACCAAGGCTTACTGTGTTAGTCAGTGTGCAAACATACAAGCAGCCTGATAAAGCAGAGACCTTTGGCTAGGGAAAGAAAAACAAACAAATCTTGTCTTCTGACTCTCTAAGCTCCCTGTTGCTCTAACACAGGAAGGAACTGCAGATTGCAGATAGTGATTGCACAGCCACTTAAAGTGCAGCTTACTAAGAACAAGTTTAAAATCTTTTCTTGGTCATGTTGTTTTTCATCAAGTCCACTTTCCATCATGGCAAAGCAGTTATTTCTGTAATCTTACAGCTACACGTATTTTAGTAAAACCTTTCATTGTGCAGAAATAAAGTAGTATATGCTTTATTGCCTTCAGGGAAAGCTTGCATGGGCTAGTGGTTGCTCAGGATTTTTCTTTAGGCTTTGATTTTTTTCACGCTGTGCTTTCAACTGAATTGTGCAAGCAGGGTAGGTATTCCTCTAACAGGGGGCACAAATCTCTCCTATTTTTCAAAAGAATCACGCAACTTGGTGCACAAGAAAAATAAAAATAAAATCTCTGCTTTTCTAGCATTTAGTTACCCAGTAATCACATGGTAATCACATGTGTATGTATGTATTTGTGTAAAAAAATTATCAGTCCACAACTCCATATCTTATCATCTTGTCATCTAGTGACACATTCATGTTTTACTTACACGTATTTTAGTAAAACCTTTCATTGTGCAGAAATAAAGTAGTATATGCTTTATTGCCTTCAGGGAAAGCTTGCATGGGCTAGTGGTTGCTCAGGATTTTTCTTTAGGCTTTGATTTTTTTCACGCTGTGCTTTCAACTGAATTGTGCAAGCAGGGTAGGTATTCCTCTAACAGGGGGCACAAATCTCTCCTATTTTTCAAAAGAATCACGCAACTTGGTGCACAAGAAAAATAAAAATAAAATCTCTGCTTTTCTAGCATTTAGTTACCCAGTAATCACATGGTAATCACATGTGTATGTATGTATTTGTGTAAAAAAATTATCAGTCCACAACTCCATCTTATCATGTTGTCATCTAGTGACACATTCATGTTTTGCCAAGATAAAAATAACACAAAAAACTAGGGCAGGGATAGAATAGTAAGGGTGCTAAACAAATACACATGCATATTGCAGATGCTGTACAGTTCTGTCAGTTATTTTACCCCTGGCCACAGCACATTTAGCAATAGAAAACTGCCATGTTTTCTATTCACCCTGTGATTTTCTTCTAAGGTGACTTTTGTGTTTTCACAGGAAATGGCAAGACCTGTTCCTGTGCTCACATCTTCAGAGTATGGGAAGCGCTTACACAAGCTCTTAGACCCAGCAACCGGAGAGCATGCGAGGGTTAACAGCGTGCACGCAGCAATCTACGGGGAAGGCAGCCGCCCTGCTCATTGAAAAACCTTCTCCAGGCCTGGATCCCTGGGTAATCTCTCGTATCTGTCATTTCCAGCAATATTTATCTGGAAAACAACCTAACACTTTGAAAAGCAATATGGTGCTTTTGCCTTTTCCTCTACAGTTTATCTAATGAGAATTATCTGGATTAAAAATAGGGTGAAATAGCAGCTGCACGTTTTCTTATGCTAACTAAAATGCATGTCTTCTTCTTACATTCTCACAAAAATCTCATGAAGAGCAGCACCAACAAGAACATTTAGAACATTTTAGGCAGCAATGCTGGGAATGAGACCTGCTGGGTCAAAAGCTGTGTCTGCAATCCTGGGCACTGCATCTACATAACCATTCACAGACTTAATATTTTAAATAAGCTTGTCCATCAAGGTATCAGTAGTCACAGATTTTCCAATCCTTACGGAGTTGCTAGAGAATTATGAGACATTGTTCTAGGTACACAACAGCTGAAATGGATATTCAGCTCAGAATTTTCAAAAATGTATGAGCTTATGTGCTTAGCAGTTTCACTAGACTTCAAGTGGAACTCGAGTTAAAAGGAACTTCTGAGCACTTGGCATTTGAAGAGACAAAATCTGGATTTAGCTGAATTCAGACATTCAATTCACTGACCCACTCTAGGAATGGCATCTGACTGATTTAACAAGAAAAATCATCATTGGTTCTGTATCAAATCTGAAAAAAATGGGAAAAAAACCTAAGAATACTAGCAGAACAAGCACTAAATAATTTGTTACAAAGGGTGAAAAAACCATAAGGATTTGAGCAGTAGCCATTTAAAAAGCATGTTTAGCACAAATGTCTAAATCTGATGAAACATTTGATGCCTTGTGCTTTCACAGAATCCAGTACTAAAATTTTAAGGTAATTTTAGAAGTGTCTCCTGCAGAGTATGCATCAGTTTGGTTCTCAAGAGCCATTGATCCTGTTGTTGTTTAAGGCTGAGGCAGTATTGTTCAGAAAGGAACAGCCAAAGTGATCATACCAGAAAAAGGACTGGAAGTCCACAGCTGTGACTGACACTGGTTTTGTCAGGTATTTGGACACAGGAAATCTGTTATTTGTAAATACAGTGAGACATCTAGTGGAAAGAAAAAATAAAGAAACAAAAACCTTCTAAATCTGGAACCTGAAAAAGTAATAAATTAGGCAATCAGTAGCACTTGTTTGACATGATGTGAGAAGCAGAGCACAGAGAGCAGCCCATTCTGAGAGATGTTTGTTACTTTCATTATTCACGACCTGCAGTTCTTCTACACTCAATGGGCTATGGACAAAAGGACATTAAAGGCTACATTCCTTTTCAAATATAAATACTTCACTAAACAAATTCAGCAGCATTAAATGAAAGGAATCATACGAAGAACAAAGGGAGAAGGAAATGTTTTCTAATACCATACTGCTTTTCCAAAAATCAATATCAAAGTTATACTAGTGAAGAATGAGATTGAATATGGCCATATTCTTAGCAGGTTATTTTTACTTTGGGACAGTCAGTACAAATTGCTTTTTTTGAAGTAGCCTTACTATATTTACAAACCATCTGTGTTTGAAAAACTATTGGAAATGAAATTTGTTTGAAAATAGCACCACCTTCTGGCCTGTGTGAGAAACAGGTATCACTTCCACCACAGAGGAAGTCAAACATCAAAACACCAGTTTGAGTTTTCCTAAATAATTTATTTGCTTGTGTCATACCCTTCTCATCCCTACTCACTTTTGAAGATCTTTCACAGACTGTTCTTCCCACTACTTGTTTCTCATTCAGTTCTGAATAGTTCACTTCTTCCTTCAGTGCTCAGTGTCAAAAGAACACCCTGACAATTTCTTCTGTATTATTGATAAGTTCTCATAAACGTTTGCAAAGCCATTTCCGCTCTTCTTCAATTTCTTGCTTGCTAGAATGACAAATTCTTAGGTTATTAATGTTCTGACTTACTATTACACATTGGAAAGCACCTTTTAGCCCTCCCTCACCTGTCAGTGTTGACATACTACTGTGAGGAAGTTTCATACATGCAACAAATTAACATGGACAGAATGGACAGTGTATACAATGTAAAGCATATTCTGGATTTTGTATCCAGTAATCTCCAGAGATTCTTGGGGCAATTGACAGACACCTGCAACTCACAAATTATTGGAAAGAAAAACTGGCCACATTCTCTATTGATGAAATATACAGAATGTCAGTGATGTGAAAGTTTCCCCTTTTTTGTATCAAAACAACGGTGAAAATCAAACTAGGTAATGGTGGGAATTCTGCTTTGCTACTCATAAATAGTAATTCCACACAGAGAGGAAGCACAAGCTAACAAAAAAATGTGTTACATGGCTGTTCATCAAGAATACATGATGTAATCAGAACTAAAGCTCTCCTGTTTTCCCTTCATCATCTGCAAAGCAATATACTGACCCAAATTAGGGCACTTGTTCTGGCTGAAGTGGGTACTGGTTCTCAGTTGCAGAATTTCTGTTCATACATAAAAAAGGGCTGCCATGGGACATGTTCTTCTGAGCTTCAAAGCATAGAGTTTCTGTAACCCAGAGGAACTCTGGAGTGCATACAGGACCCCATTTAGACAGTTTAGCTAAAACTGCCACCAAAGGCAAAACGCCAAATAGAATATATCCAGAATACTGGGTGGCCCCACAGAGACACTTGTACAAGTCCATAGCCTGTGGCAGCCGTTACTTTACAAAGTAAAGCAAATCCTTTTTATTAAAAATCTCATTTTCTGTAAGGCATTGCTATTTATTGAACAGCACTCTGCATCTCTTAAATAAAACCAATAAGCCAATACTGCTTCTGCAACTATTTCAAATTTTAGTTTTATGAAACACTTGGGAAATTATGTGAGTGGTAAGTAAATTGCACAATTTCTTCTTATACTGTCAAGAAAAACCCTGATTAGTAGGTATTCTGTAGGTATATTCTGTACATCCAGACTGGTCAGTACCCTTCAACAGTCACACATGGCTGTTTGCAGCTGTGAATTAGAACCAGTTAAAAATACAAGGGAAAAGCAGCACTGACTGTCTGGAACTTATATCTGTAAACTTGTAAAAAATATTGAAACAAATATTAAGAAAATATTATGCTCTTTATTACTCTTTACATGTCAATTCCAAATATTGGAAGGTTTTACATTCAGAAGCTCACATTTTCTGAGGTGGAGTTACTTAGAAAAAAATAGCTTTTCTTCCATGCACAGAATTTACACTTTGTAGTATAGGTCAGCCTGTTGTCCAGTAGTATTCTCCAGTGTCAGTTGCTGAGTCCATATGTACAAGGAAAGATTTTTTTGTGTAGATAATCTGCTATTTTTGTGGTATTTTTTAGATTTTCTATCTCAAAAAATGGAATCTGGAAACAAAACAGAAACAATTGCTGAAAATACCTTTTAATAAACAATTGGGTAAGACTGATGTTCATTGAGCAGATGCAAAACTACACATCAACTAAAGATCAACTACAGATCAACTAAAACTACACTAAAGATTTAATCCTAAATGTACTATTGATCTACAAATGACCTGAAGAGAAATTACTATTAAAAAAAAAGAGTTATATTTATTACAGTTTAAACTAAGCTAAATATTATGGAGTTAGGCTTATGTAATAACTAATGATAAGTGGAAAATAAAGTCTCAAGAAATTAACAGTTTTCATTCCAATTATGTTTCAAGAAAAATATACCTCTATTAATTCAACAGTCAAAATAAAGGTTATACTCTGTTGTGAAAATATTTTTTACAATACAAATCAGCTTCTTTTTTTTAACTCGTCTTTTTAAACTCCAAACCTTTTTAAAATGTATTTGATTGAAAATTCCAATTCTAATGAACTCTTACATAACAATTTATTTAATTCAAGATTTGAATCTTAATCACTGAAGAGAAGTACTCTTCCAAACAGCAACTATATGGCAAAAAACACAGACAGAACACACTAATTGATTCAAGGCAGAAAAAGGTAGTTCTGTACACCCTCAAAAAGGCAAAAACTAGATAGAGAGAATGTAATATAGAAAGAACAAGACTACATCTGCTTTAGGAATTAATTGAAACTACAATTTTAAGTATTGTAAAATAATTTTTTACTTGTTTTCTTGTAGCAAAAGTAAATCACTAAAGTCTTTGGACTTTACCTGCACAACTTCATAACCAAGTAACTGAAGATGTCTCTGTTTAATAGCTTCTTCTCCCAAGAGATTGTGACTATGAGCACAAAATCTATTTTGACCATCAACACACAGGGCAATTCTAAAATTAAGCATAAGTCTAATATCAAAAAAAACCCCAACAAACCCACAAAAATTAATTACTTCAATCACCACAACTACTTTAGTTCCTAAGAAGCAGGAAACAATACCTCCCTCTTACACCTCGTTGAATCAGATGTAGGATGGGAGTTACCTAGTTCAGGATAATTTAAATCACTCAATTTAAGGTTGGGAGGTGAAACCCTGAAACTTAGTGAATCTGAAAAGCTTTTTTATTTGTTCTGAACAAAAATTACCATGCAAGTTAATCGGTTTTTTTAATGCTGTGATTAGTAAGCTGTTTTGAATTCTTCTAGAAAGAAAAATGTAAAAAAAACTTGCCTCAGCTAGAAAACAATTCAGCATCTAAATGTATTTAACTTGCTAATTTACCTGTTAAATTCATTAGAATTCAAACTGAGTTTAAGCTTCATCTGTTTTAAGTTAAACCAGTATATATAGTTTGCAGCATGGATTATAATAATATTTTTACTTCTGGGTAAGTAAACTTAATCAACTTTCTCCCTCTACTAGCTTCAATATCAACTTAATCCAAGGTTTTTATATCTACTGTTAAAAAGTTGCTTAAATTTTCAGTATGCTAAGCATACTGTGACTTTATTTACTTTATGAAAGCTACTACTTAAAAAACCACAAAACATTGGAGCTCATTCTTAAGCATTTAAGCATGGGCTCTTGGAAAGAACCTGTATTAGTCTCTGAGTCTTATGTGAATGTGTGCTGGTTTCAGCTTAAACCACAACAGAAGGTTACACTGGAGAAAGCCTAACCTCTTAAAAGACTTTTGCTTGTTCAGACAGTGCAGTTGCAATTATCACATAGGCAGGTTGCATAACTTTGTATCCAAGGCTTCCCAAAGTAACCCTTGTTTAATATACTTTTTAACACCTATGTATTTCTCAATGAAAAAAAAAAACACCATCTGTATCAAATATCCTTATTCAGGATTCTTTGCAGAAGTAAATTTGTGAACTCAAAGTGGCTCAAAGTCTGTTAAATCTGTGCAAATACACTATACTTTTTAACACCTATGTATTTCTCAAGAAAAAAAAAAAACACCATCTGTATCAAACATCCTTATTCAGGATTCCTTGCAGAAGTAAATTTGTGAACTCAAACTGGCTCAGTGTCTGTTAAATCTGTGCAAATACATTCAGTTAGAATTTAGTTTTAATTTGAAAATGAATTACTGAATATCAAAATAGATTACTATAATCCAAATAAGGATCACTTGATTTATACTGTCATTGAGTAAAGAAACCAACTGTCTGACACTGCATAGTCAGGTGGCAAAACAATGAGCAAAAAGCAGACTGTTAATTTTGTCCTTCTGCCAGTGGTTTCAGTGTGAGACCTGAACTTTGTTGAAATCAGTGGCAAAACTGCAAATAGCTTAAATTTAGCCAGGTTTTCACCCTGGATGTGCTTTCCTAGTGTAAATCAACATTTTACCCATGGTTTCTGTTATTCTCTTACCGTCTGTGTACCTCTTCAAGTTGGGCCGCAGGCAATACAAAACCTTCTTCATCTAATTTAATCTCAATATCTGATGCAGATGAAAAAAAGTGACAATAAACGTCATTTCCTATAACAAACTTTCTACTGTAATTCTCATCTTCTCACAGTTGTTTTATTAAACAATTATAATACTATCACAATTTTTCTCTTTTTTTTTTTTTAAATCACAGAGGCTGGCAAAAGTTGTATAGACTTAACACAAATGAGTGATAATTAGTAACAGTTCAGCCTTTCATGATGCTAACAAAATAGTATTCCAAGTCCACTCAAAACTAACACAGTTAAATGGTGTTCTGCTGTGCTAACTAGGGTGTCTGGAATTCATTTTGAGGGCTTTGGGGAGAGAGATACTTTCTCCCTCTACTAGCTTCAACATCCTTGTGAAAGCTGACACACAGAGTAACTCTGGAATCATCCCCCTTTTTAATTTTTTTTAAATCCCTCTGACATCCATGGTGTCCAAGACTCCCTTCCCTCAACATCTTATTATCATCCACCCCTCCTGGGCACGTGATTTCCCTCATCACTGCCTTCTGTTTCCTGCTGTTTTGCTCACTCCTGCCTTACAGCCACAAAGCGCACCGACTGTGCTGTCAGCAGCTCTTGCTGAGGGCAGAGGAGCCCACCTGAGCAGGGCTCACAGCTGATTTCTCTACTCACTACTAAAGCAGGGAGATCAGGCAAGTGGCTTTGCCTCATTTTGCTGTATGTGATACAAACTGTTTAACAGATAAGGAGCTGATAATAAAAACACAGAATACAAGCAGCTGCTAGCAGCTGTTTTCAAGGCAGACTGGCTGCCTAAATACCAATCTGCAGTGCTTTTCTCTCCATTTTCCTTTCACTGACTCTAAAAATTATTTACTTAAAGTTCCCAAATTTCAGATCTTGTACAGAAATTGGTATCCCAGTTTACTTTTTCTGTATTTGCAGAATTTAGACTGCCTACAAAGGAAATGATAGCTTTGGCACCATACACACACATTTCTATTAATCTAAAGAAATTATACTTACCAACTACATAGAAATACGGTGTTGATACCTCTGATGCAAAATATATTCTTTTTTTCAGTAAATAAAGTAATCCCGTCTTCACTCTTTTAAAGAGATGAACATCAGGAGAACTCTGAGGCGTGGGAAAGGCCTTTACCTGGTACTTAGAAAGGAGTTTTGGACCCTAGATAACGACAGAAAATCAAATCAAAAAAGGGAGATAACATTTTTGTAATTACCTCATATTAACATAGCAAAATGTATTCTGTGCATTTCAAAGCCAAGTCTATTGAGTCTAACTGTAGGTCTATAGAGACCTACAGTCTGAGGTATGATCTGCTGAAAACTTAAAATCACCCAAACAACCACCAGAACATCCTCAGGAAGCTTCAATGCTTTCATGTTCATGAGAAATGCACAGCTGTTTCCATTCATACAAATATATTAAGTAATTCAATAAGGTAGAAATGCTCCATATTTTCATCAAGAAAAATTGGTTTGTCCAATTCCAATGCTTTTTATGGGAAATACACAAAACTAAGTATAAGCAGGGCCCTAATGACCTTATCACCTTTTGTTAACATCACTTCAGGTTTCACATGTACTGTACCTCATAAAATGGGCACTCCAGGGTGACAGTCAGAAAAAGCTGGGTTAGCTGGGACATAACAACTCTGTTCAGACCAGGTGGCTGAGCTGAAACAACAACAGTCAGATTTTCAGGTGTACCTTCCATAAAGTATCTTTACACAAATCATAATGTAGAAGGTAGGAAAAGCTATTCAGTATGATATGCAGAAAAACTACTTAATCATTAAAATTCTCAGCATTTGTTTAAGTTAACAGAAAGATTAGTATGAAATTACACAGGTAGAAAAATGAGAAAATTATTTACAGAAATGTCAACACAAAAATACAAAATAGCAAGATCTGAGTTTAAAAAACTGTCATATTCTTTCACAAAAAACATGAGGATCCAAAAGATGCATGGCATTCTACATAGAAGAATAAATTTGAGATGACGTCTTAGATAAATATCTCCTTCTTATAACCACTTTTTCTCAACAAAAATACAAAATAGCAAGATCTGAGTTTAAAAAACTGTCATATTCTTTCACAAAAAACATGAGGATCCAAAAGATGCATGGCATTCTACATAGAAGAATAAATTTGAGATGACGTCTTAGATAAATATCTCCTTCTTATAACCACTTTTTCTCAAGTTATAATCCCAGGATCCCATAGTTTTTTGGTTTGTTTGGTTTTTTTTTTTAAATCTGCAAAATGTGGATAATACCAAATAATTTGTGGAGATTTGTTTGCTTTGTAAAAAATCAAGTCCTTCAGGTATTTCATGTTGTTGAAAAATTAAGTGACCAAAATTTCTAATCACTTTGAAAAATTTAGCTTAGTTTTATTAGTAGAGCAATCTTAGCTGAAATCTTATTAAGTCAGTCATCTTTCTGGCATAGCTTACACCTCTCTACAATGACCCTAAAAATGCATTAGTACCAAATAGAGAATAACTCAAAATGATGTGTTATTCATAATAGTTTTGTGTCCAAAAGCATTGAAATATGCAATAATTAGAGCCAAGAACAGGCTACCACATGGAAGATGTTCTAGCATAATGTATAAGACAAGGACAAATCCAAGTCACTGTTTTTTAGAAAATCAGAAGAATTAGCTGAAATAATTATTTTAAAGGAATTTAAGTCTGTGTTTTAAAACCGTACAGTGCAATTTTCAAACTCAACTAAATGACATACATGAAAGACAATGGCAACTGTGACAAGGAAGCTTCAGCCTTTGGTCTCCTGATCACTATTTTCCAGTCACTGCTGATTTGACAAATTAAATTGCTAAAAAATAGGTGCTTGACAACAGACAAACTCCATAACAGAAAAAAATGTGGAACATCTCAAGAGAAATTCTGCTTCTTACCTTGAAGCTTTTGCAGAAAATAGGGACTAAATATTTTTGGCAGGAAATTTATTGGATAACGTTGAATAAGGACACACGAGTGTAGCAGGCTGAGCAAGGTGTGGGGCTGAAAGTGCCTCAGGCGGGTGTGCAGCACAGTTTCAAGCTTCCTAAACAAGGAAGAAGCACTTGGAGGCAGATAGTTAAGAGTCCCAAACGGGATAATATACGCAGCAATCTGCTCAGTGGTAAGTCTGTCAGCACTGGAAATGAAATCTTCTGCCACTGCATCAAAGATGGGCTTTGAAAGGATCATCTTTTTGCAGCAATACTGCATGACCTTGCTGACCGTTTGAGGATGCATAGCGTGGATGGACTTGGGGACATGTCTTTCCAGTGCCTCTGTAAAAATTTGCATTTTTTGCCCAAAGTACAGGAAAGCTTCCAGTACATTTACCAGTTCATGATCTGTGAAATAGGGAACATGCTTCTCTGAATGTTTACACAGTGCAGTGACTAAGACAACTGCTCGAGTCTGATGAAGAACTACCAGTGAATTCAGTATTACACTTACAGAGTTTGGGCTTAGTTGGGAAACTGTGCGTAAAGTGACACTGTTCAGTCTGTTTAGTAACTTTTGGCATTGTTTCCCTTCCTTCACAGTCACCTGCAGTATCCTATAAACCATCACTATTTCCCTGGGACTCCAACTCTTCATATCTCTTTCTTGCATGTGGTTCACAATTTGTTCCAGTGTCGCACAACTTGGGGCTTCTAACTCAAGCAAACTCTCTCCAAGAGCACACAGATTTTCAGCAGTCAGCTGTCCCCTGCCAAGCCGCTCCTCGCTCTCCAAAAGCAGGCTTGTCATCAGCGTGCTCTGCGGATCTATACGGAGTTTTATCAAAGCCTGCAAGGCATTCAGCAGCCCCGTGTTTGACAGTTTTGAGGATTCAAATTCAAACTGGAAGCATAATGCCCTGAAAACTTCATTCTCTAACAGTCCAGGGTTTTTAAGACCATTGTCATCCACCTCAACTTCAGAAATCTTCTGCAGGGCTCCTGAGGCCATTGTATCAGACATGACCTCTAGAGAGCTAAGAAAATAAAAAATCTCTTTTGATGTACAAAGGTTGTTCAACTTCTTGAAAAATAATTGTTCATCCATCCACACATTATTTGATTTAGTACAGTTCATCATATCTCCACAAAGATGCACAGCTTCATTAACAGAAAGTGGCTGCACTTGCAGTTGTACATGTTTTTTCCTACAAAACGTATACTGAGATTTATCTTTGACACACAGCATCCTCATGGCCACGGAGCTATAGTTTTGGGGTTTTCGCTGCCCACTGATGGAGTTCAACCTTTTGCTTAGGGTCATCAAAGCAGACCTGCTTGCTGGTGTGCTGGATGAATACAACTGGAAGCCTTTTCGGCTAATCAAAGCCATATTGAATCAAGTGAATTCTGAAATGACACCTAGGGGAAGAAAAATAGATATGTAGTCTGGAAAACACCACCAGGGTCACTAAAATGCAGAAAAAACCACAACCCCAATCCTTTTGGTGGCTGGAAAGATGGGTACACTCCCTCTCCCGCGACCACAGAGAGCAGAAATGCCGGGAGCGGCGATCCCTGACAGGCTGTCCCGTGTTCCCGCAAGGACACTGGCAGACGAACAGGAGACTTCGCCCGCCACCCCCGCGGCCGGGGCGGCACCGGGGCGGCCCCTCCATGCCCCTCCATCCCCTCCGCCCCAGCACCTACTGCCGCTCCGGCCCGGGGGCACCCGGCCGTGCCGGGCAGCCGCGGCGGCCTCACCTCGGCAGCCATCACGGGCAGCGCGGCGCCTGCCGGGACCTTCCGGCGCCTCGGCCCGGCCCGCCCCGCTCCGCCCGGCCCGGCCTCCTCCCGCGCTGCCCGGGCACCAGCGCAGCGGGGGCTGGCGCTTCGCTTCGGAAGCGGGATTCGTGTCCGTGCGCACCGCGTCCTGCAGCGCAAGTACTGCCGTTCCCCGCTCGGGCGGCACCGGGGCCGGGCGGAGCAGGGAGGCGGGGCGGAGGGTTTGTATTTCGCGTTTGTGTTTGTCTCGGCCCTAGAATGCTTCTGAGCAAGCTGTTGAAAAAGTGACTTGGGAATGGCTTCGTGGCTCAAGGCACGGTCCCACAAACTGGGTTAAAGCCACGGAGGAGTGCGTGAAGCTCTTCTGCTTGCTGACAGAAGACGTCCTTCTAAGTTTCAGAAGGATGAAACTCCTCCATGTGTGCAGTTCGGGTTGAATGACGATCTAAGGAGTTTGTCCATCTGCTGATGACATAATTAACAGTGTGTGCACTGAAGTTTCTTGCTGTTTGTGTCCGGTCCGTGGCCGCGCAGTCCGTGTGTGACGGAGCGGGTCCGTGACGTGCGCGGTCCGGCCTTGCGGCGCTGCTGGGGCGGCACGTGTGGTTCGGCGGCATTCCTGCGGGGATTGTCCCACACTTTGTAGCCTTAGGGAGCTGCTGGACTCCCTAAGGCTAATCTTCCGTGGACTGTTAGCTCTCTGGGTTTTCCAAGTACTGGCTCAGGAGAGCTGTAGTTTGGAATTTCATCTTTCGTTTCCTGTTAAGCCCTGGTGTGACAGGTGGTGTTCCCAGCTTAAACATTGTATCTTGATGTGTCTACCAGCACGACAGCGTGTTAAAGGCTCCTGGTGTGGTAGTACTATTAAAGTTACAGGGATTCTTCAGAAAGCTTGACAGCTTAGGAATTACCTTTTCTTCCCCCTATTTATTCCAGTTGAACTTGTGTCATGTAAGTGGAAGTGGCGTAGCATCTTTGAAGAGTGTATAGAGCAGCAAAGCAAGATCAGTGTGGGCAGCATGCTCGTCTGAGAACAAGTGTGTTCCTGGTTTGTGGCTGTTCATCTGCAGGTAGGCATGGCTGATTTTTCTCTCTTTGAGCAAGCATCACTTGGCAGTCTGCATAAAGATCTTATGGTTGATGACAGAGAGAAGATGTGTTCTCAGGGTGAAACTCTGCAACTTGTGCAGATGAAATTATGATCAAAGGAATTAATTGGTCTGTTATTGACATAATTAACTTTTAGGGATTTAAATAAACTAGTCAGTTAATTGAATTACATATTTAAGATGTATAGCAACAATGCAACACATATAATACTAAACTCCTGGAGAATGTTAATAAATGCCACAAACATTTAAACACCTTTCAGTATCTAATTCCAAGGAGTTGTCTAATTATGTTCTCTCCCATTGCCACAAGGATGCATTCACACTGTTGCATACACATGCAGTACCCTGTCGCAGGGGGTCTGCGTGTGCATCTCCAGCAGCATCGGCTCTTTGGGCTGCGTGGGCTCTCTTGTTGCCAGTGCTGTCTGTGAGAGGTGCAGTTGCTCCAGACTTTTGTGTCTCTATGCAATCTACTGGTCCATTCACCAATGAAAAAAACCTCTCTCCAAGTTCACATCTATGCACCGAAAATGTGGCTACTTTTTTACCCTTTGTTGTTACTATACTAGCTGGAGAATCTACTGGTCCATTCACCAATGAAAAAAACCTCTCTCCAAGTTCACATCTATGCACCGAAAATGTGGCTACTTTTTGCACCCTTTGTTGTTGCTATACTAGCTGGAATAGAAAGCTCGCAGGAATTCAGGCTGCTCTGCCTGACCTAGGCAGAGGTCATAGCACTGTTAGGGCAACATCTGACCGTGTCAGACCACATCTTGGCTGCTATTCCTTTCGTTTCCCTCTCCATTTCCCCTGTTTTTGCAAATTTTTATGCTTCTCAAATATTAACAGCTTCCCAAGCTGACTCTTGTTCTCACAGACTTGTTGGTAATGCCTGGACTATAATGGTGGCAGCTTACTCCTCAGCATTTCTTGTATAGAAGGTTTCTGTGCTATGGTGTGGTCTTTGTGGGAAACTGATTATCTTTCTCCCTTTCTGAGGTAAGAAGAAGACTATAGTAATGAAACACTGCTTTGTCTATTTTGGTTTTATTCATTTGTGGTCCGGTGATGCCACCTGCTGACAAGAGAGTTAGTTGAAAACACAGGACATGACCAGGATGAATCTGTATTGCTACAGGGATTTGAGGGTATTTAAACAGTATTTATGCTATTTTATATGAATCATCATAATTAGCACATTTTTTTCTTTTGGAAAAGGAAAGTGAAGAATCATTTTGAGCATTGTTTTGTTGTATGCACCTTCTGTGCACACACATACATAAAACCAGTTACATAAATTTATTTAAAGGTGACTCTTAAGGTAATTACTAATAACTTTAGATAATATATATAATTAATCTAAAGTGAAAACTAAACTGGAAAACATCGTAGAAGAAAGTACACTGAAAACCTCAAAATTTTCTAGTAATTACATTTTTCATGAAATTCATGCATGATACAGGCATTCTTAAGAATCTACCACGTAGTTTTGCTACTTTTGATATATAATTATGCTTAAAAAAAATCCTATAGGAAAAACCTTCTGCAGTACTGTGTGGAGAAATATCCTGCCATATCTATGGAGTACAGTATTCTTATGCAATTGAACTGTATTTGTTTTCCCTTGGGAGAAAGAGAAAAAAGAGATACCTCAAATTATGTAGCCCTAGGTTTCCATAACTCAGTGTGTCTGGCTAGGACAGTGAATGCTTTCTGTAGTTGAAATTGTGTGAAACCAATAGGTGAAGTGCAGCAGACTGGGCTCAAGAGTGGGAGAGCTACCTCAGATTGGGAACTGAAAATTTCTCAATACTAATTCTAGGTATTTGAGTTCTACTTCACCTCCTTAGCAATGACAAAATATTGACAAAAAATTAATTTGTAATATCCACTCTAAAGACATACTGCTTCTCTCTCTTATTTACTGTTCCCTGAAGTTAAATCTGTGGTGTTCTCTGTGTCAAAATAATGGAAGAAAACTTCTTGCATTTAAATTTTCATGGGACAGGTAAATGGATAAGGATATGCATCTCATTCATCCTACTGCTTGCAAAGGACTTGGTGACACCATGGCAGATTTCTCTAAGATTATTTCTTACTTTTAGGCGGATAAAACCCAAAAGAGTCAATTCTGTAGTTCACAGAATCACAGAACAGTCTGCATTGGCAGGGACCCAGAAGTATTATCAAGTCCAGCTCCTCCAAAGTGAATGACCAATATGGGGATCAAAACCAACACCTTGGTGTTATTAGCATCGTGTTCTGAACAACTGAGCTAACCTCAGGGTCAGGTTGCACTTGTGTAAGGAGCTCCCTTTTGAAATATAAGATTGAAGTCAGTGTTTGTGCTCCAAAATATGTAGTGGACAATAAAGTGTAAAGTCATTGCAGCAAAAAATACTGATTTCAGAAAAGAAGAAACTGAGAAATTTTTTTTCATCAAGCTTTGTAGTTTGACTTCTCCAGGTCTATGTTTTGTTTTGTTTTCAAAGACAGCTTGGGAAGGTGAACAAAACAGTCACTAAATTGAAATGGAAAATATATAATAATGTAAGTAGTATATATTTAATTTTAAAAGTTTTCATGTTATATTGTTTACAAACTCAATTGTTGATATCAGAGATATTGTTGCATTATTGGAGCATCAGGGCAGTACAGCACATAGGACCAACACCACATGTCCTTTGCAACCTGATCTACAAAGCTTGCTTGTGAGAAATGCTTTTACTTCAGAGCAGATGCCTCATTTCCAAGTTAAACATCGATGCTGCTCTCTTTATCTCTTTTTAATCTCATAAGCAAAGTAAAATCTTGCTTTTCTGCTTACAAGAAATTCACTTTTTAAATTCTTTTTTCCCCTGCAGTTTCTGTAAAAAAAATAGAATGTGCTGTGAGTCGAAAAGGAGGTTTTTGCTCCTCTATGCAACACAAAAGGGGCAGGCAAAAGCCATAGCTGAGGAAATATGGCAGCAAGCAGGTGCCCATGGACTTGAAGCTGATATGCACTGTATGAGTGAAATGGATAAGGTGAGATACTCCATGCTGTTTTGAAAAATATGTATTGAAGAACTGAATTCTTCTTCACATGCTGGAGTGGTGGCTCTGGATGTCATGAAGGCTAGCAGATGCACCCACCTAAAAAACCCCATCTAGTGTCAAATTCTTATTCTTTGTGAATCAGTAATTTCAACCGATGATCACAGTTGCTTAATAGTCTTCTGCCAAAGATACATCTTGTGATTTTTCTTATTAGAACTGTAAATTAATATGTCTTTATCTCTCTTTTAACGATGATTCAGTGACTTCTTGAAAACTTTTCATGTATGCAGTTGTGAATGAATTCTGTAGTTACAGGTCAGGTCTGCTGTTATTAGAAATTATGCTTTTTTTCCTTGGTTTTTCTGTCAGTTTTTTTTTGGTTGGTTGGTTTTTGTGGGTTTTTTTGTTGTAGTTTTTGTCCTGGTTTGGTGGGGGGTTTTTTTTGGGTTTTTTGGGGTTTTTTTGTTTTTTTTTTCCTTTTGTTGCATTGATATTCTGTGTTGTTTTTGTCTGGTTTGGTGGGGTTTTTTTTTTTTTTTTTTTTTTCTTTTGTTGCATTGATATTCTGTGTAGTGATAACTGTGGGCTCCAGCATGGCTCAGAGCTTTTATGGGTCTTCTTGTGTTGCTTAGCGTATGCACACATTTCAGTTCCCACAGGACTCACTTCAGGTTATGTTCTAGAACAAAATAAAATGCTTGGCTGGGACAAGGAAGTGGCTTTTTACTACTTGCTGTTATCCAAGAGTGAGAATGTGAAAACTTAGTTCTGTAACTGAAAGCATTATGGATTGTAATTTCCTTCACAAAGTACTCTCAACTGTATGCCCTCAAACAAAAACATATAAAAAGCAAACAATCAAAACTTGATAGCCTGGTATTTCTTATGACATGAGGAGAAAATAACATCTAAAAGAGTTTTTTCATGCACTTGAAAATGTGAGACATTTTGATTTAATGTGCA